GTCACGGGTGAGTCCCACCTACCCTGCCTCCCTGCCTTGCTAGCCCAGTGGTGCTTGCTGCGGCTTCCCTGCTACCTGGGAGCCAGCCTCCAGTGTAGGGCCGAATCCTGAGCTGATACCCATGTCCTCCCTCCCCATAGCTTCCTCTGACAACCTGGCCCGGCTTTGGTGTGTGGAGACGGGAGAGATCAAGAGAGAATACGGCGGCCACCAGAAAGCTGTGGTCTGCTTGGCCTTCAATGACAGTGTGCTGGGCTAGCCTGTGCCCCCCTGGGATTGCAGGCAGCCACCAGGCAGCACTGGCTGATGTGACTGTTCGGCTGCCATGTCAGAGCGGACCCTTCCTCGGGCTGCTAGCCTCTACCAGCTTCGGCTAGCTGGACCTGACTGACTGCCCTGGTCCCTGGGCCAGCCTAGGTGGGCCAGGCTGGTCTGCTGAGGGCTCTTTAGTCCCTGGTTGCGTATCTGGATGTGACAGGGCTCAGGAGGCTGACCCAAGCAGCCTGGCTGCTGCCCACCCCCAAGCCAGTGCTCCCCCCCCGCCCCCCTTACATGTCCCGAGACCACAGAAAACACCATCACGGCCAGGTGGAGGGTTTATTAGCCCCTGCTGGTGGCTGCCTTCCATGGCACTGGTGCTAGGGCCGTCCAGCTGGCTGGCTGGTGGGGCTGGGTGGGCTGGGGGTTCAGTCTGGGAGGTAATAAAAGCAGACTGACACACAGATGTTGCTTGGGAAGCAGATGTCGATGCATAGATAGATCAGCCGCTGCCTCCGGGGCCCTGTGGGGAAGGGCCTTAATGAACCCCAAAAGAGTTCCTCTCCCTCTCCCAGAATGTCCATGGGAGCCCAGGCCTCTCCCCATAGCTGCCCCGACTCACCCTCTGCTCGACGGGCCCAGTAAATGGGGATCTTTGAGCAAAAGTGCCGCACTGAAGCCCCCACTTGGGCAGGGTCCACCTCATGGCTCCCAAGCACGGCCAGCAGCTCCTGAGCATAGTGGGTCTCCTGGCTGGGGCTGTTAGACCCCTGGGTCTGCAGAGAAGGCTCCGGTGGGCCTTGGGCCAGGGATACTTGCACTGCCTTTGGCTGGGCAGGGCCCATGAATCTCTGGACATGCCAGCACTGTGCCAACCACGCCCTCAGTTCTTGTCAGCAGTCTCAGGAAAGGGAAGATAGAGCTTCTGTTCCCCTGAAACCAGAGCCCCAGCCCACCCCGGGCCCAGGCGGTACACAGGACCCTTTGTCTGGCCCATGGCCTGGAAAGCCTGACCATGAGAGTATGGAGGCTGCTCACCTTTGAGGTGTTCACCAGCAGCTGCAGGGTCTTGCGATCTCTGGGCTCCATTGGGTGGAGGAAGCAGGCCCGGTGCTCTGCAGGTCGGTAACAGACACAGTCCTGGGGAGGCAGGCAGGTAAGGAAAGTCCATCTGACCACCTTTAGGCAGTGACCCCCTCCCCCTCCCCACCAGTCAACTCACGCTCTGCCCATCGAACAGCACCGCCCAGCTGTGGTTGCTCTGAGCCGGGGTTACCCTGATGGTTGCCACGTTCCCGGCCACGTCCACCTGGGCAGTTTGGTTGAACTGGTACACCCTGGGGCTCGGGAGGGTCAGACGGAGCATCTGTAGCAGTGGCTGGGCGGGAAGCCAGAGCTCAGCTGGGCAGGCTAGGGCTGCCCTCGCCCTCTTTCCCCAGCCCTTCAAGGCTTCTGACCCCTCCACTCCTTTGTCCTCCCCTGTAAGCTCAGCTCTAAACCCTGGATTCACTGGAGGGCTGGATGTGCTGGCCTTTCCTCCCCCTTCCTAGTGTGCATGCCTGCACAGGTCCTGAGGAGGCTCACCTTGGGAGGGCTGTGAGCAAAGCCAAAGAGCCCTCCAGTTACAGCCCCAGCAGTGGCCAATGCCAGCAACAGCAGCAGCAGGCCCAGGGCTCTCCAGCCCCCATGGCAGGGTCTGGTCTTCACCTGAGGGCACACTGTAGTCAGTGGGGCTTGGAGCAGACTGGCTCAGGGAAGATAGGGGTTGAGGAGGTGTGGGTGATGGGTGTTGCCCTCTTGTCCCCTGCTCAGGGCATGCCCTGGGTCTTTGTCCCAGGAGAGGGCACTGGGTGATGGGAGGCACTCACCCTGATAGGCCCAGGCCTAGGATCCTCTGCACAGCAGCTCCCCTGCTCCATGATGCAGCCCTGGTGACAATGCACTGATTGTCTGCCACTCCTTGGAGTCAGCCAGGAAAACCTCAGGAGCCTCTGATAAGCCAAACAGCCGTCCTGGCCCCCTCCCCTCCTGCCTCCTCCCCAGCCCAGCTACCCGAGCCAAGACAGCCCTCTCCCCCCCACCTGGGGGAGGGGGATGAGCTTGTTACCGTGCCTTGCTCTCCTCACACCTGGCCTGTACTAACCTGAGAGCACAAACCTGGTAGGGCAGGAGAGCATGGCCATTGTGGAAATCAAGACCTGCTGAATAGCAGGGAGGGCAGCCCAGGCCTGGCATGAGCAGCTTTGTCTTGTTGGGGGCAGATTAACTTTTCCTAAAGAGGCCTGTTACTAGTCTCCTGGGTTACCTCCAGACGCCTAGGGCTGGGCACAAGGCCTGGCACACAGCAAACCATCAATAAATGCCTATGTTATGAAAGGTTGGTATTTTGCACTGCCACCCTACTTCCCTTCCCCATAAACCCCAGCAATTTTGGGTTGGGTAGCATCCCAGAGAATGTGCCTCACACCAGGATGGGTTGCTCCAGGAAGCTCTGCTGCAGAAAAGGTAGCCTTGCACCCTGAGATGGTTAGGTCAGCCTTGTGTCCACCAGCCTCTGCCCTGACCAGCATAGCTTTCTCTAACTGTGCTATGGCTCTGGCTTCTAGCCTGCATTTCCAGTCACCTAACACTGGATTGCAACAGGCAGGACTCCCCAGGCAGCTTTCACATGGGTGCCCTCACCAGGAGCCCTTTCCTACTCTGGTTTTGCTTTGTGCTTCATTTTTCCTGGATCTTCAGAACCTGTCCTGTTATGAACCTGGGGTTGTTTCCAGCTCTGGAATTGAAGATCCTTCAACTAAGTTCTCCCGCCCCAGACCCACATGAAGGCTAGACAGCTGCAGCCTGTGTGTGAAGGCTGCTGTCAAGACGAGAGCAAGGAACGCTAGTCAGCATGGGTTTGAGAATTTAATGTGCATTTGAGTTCACACAGTGCAATAAGGGCAGAGATGGGGCGCAGAAGAGGAAGGTGTCGCCAGCTGCCGCACCTGCTGTGTGCTCCTGGTGTGGGTGACAACGCCCTGATAGGCCTGCTCAATATCCAGACCCACCTTGAGCCGACCTCGCAGAGCCAACGTCAGCACCACCAACCTCACAGGCACCGGCTGCCCTGCTGTTGTTGGCAGAGTCCAACCTCCAGACACTCCAAGCCTGGGAGGAGCTAAAGGCTCAGGACACCCTTTACTACTGGGAACTCTTAGAGAAAGGAGTAAAAGAGTGTTGTAACTCTGGGATTAGGAGAGAAGCCACAGGTTGTAGGCAGACACCACTGGGTGCAGAGCAAGGCCCCGGGAAGGAGTCGGCCCAAAGGAACAGCTTCCCAGGCTCTACCCTACAAGTGCAGCTGGCAAGTCTGCTTATCAGGCCTGTTCCCGAAGGTCAGCAACTTAGGGAACAGGCAGAAAAGGCCAGGGCTCCCTACCAAGAGCCCGTGGCTAGCCGGTGAGCCCTGCCAGTCCTCCAGCTGGCCACTGACCAAGGACTTCAGAGCCAAGATATTTGGCCTCATGGACCATTGGCATCTAACCCCCACACAACCAAAGGTATGGGAGGACAGGAAGAGGCTGGATGCTTTGTAGGAACCATTTTCCTGTTCTTGGGGACACTTCTTTCTTCTCCCACCCAGAGGGCACCCTGGATAACAGGCATTCCTTGGCCTGCATATGACTTTAGCCCTGCTGCTCACTGCGGGGCCTGGAGATTTCTTCGGTGGGATTTGCCCTACAAGACTGAGCACAGCTATTAACATGCTTATGATTCAATCCCACCCCTTGACAAAGTTGTTCAAAAGTTTAAAAAAATAATTTTTTTTTATAACAATGCTGCTCTGAGCTCCCTACACAGCAGGCCAAAGTTCAGCAAAGGCACCCATGTCCTTCTGGCTACTCAGCCAACAATATGCTCACTCCATGTCACTTGGGTTTAAATGCACATTTGAGAAAGCTGTGGTTTAGCTGGGGTGAGTTTACAGAGCTGCACGACCATGTATGAGGAGCAGCAGCCCTGAGCATCTGAAACACAACACTCAATATGGCAGAGTGGTTTGTTAGGAGATGTGGAGTGGCAGTGGCGAGGACAGCTCTCCACACCCCAAAGACAGGGAGACACTACCAGAGGACCACCCCATCCTCCATCCCACCATGCAGGTGAGGAGCTGGAATACAGCAGCAAGCTCCTCTGCTGATGACCCCACCCATGGGGCCTTGTACATTTCTCCTGATAGTCAAAATAATCACTCTCTTCTCCCCTTTGCCCTATAAGAGGACTTGATCCCTGAATAAAAACTTCAATAAAATATGTGACACCCCTAGATCTACCTCAGTTCCATCAGCAGGCCCTTAGGTTATCTGAATTCTGGACAGATGTGAAGCCTGCGCTTGCCAATGGCAACCAAGGCCCAGAACTCCTATAATGCTCTCCGAGTTTAAAAGTGCATCTTAGGCCCTGGCCAGGTAGCTCGGTTGGTAAGAGGGTTGTCCTGATATGCCAAGGTTGTGGGTTCGATCCCCAGTCAGGGCACATCCAAGAAGCAACCAATCAATACATAAGTAACAGCAAATTGATGTTTCTCTCCTTTCCTCTCTTAAAAAAAAAAGTGCATCTTAAATTATAAACACCTGTAACAAAATCACCCCCAAACCTTTACTTCCAAGGTTAACTAGTGCCTTTGCTTAACTCCAAGTATAACCTTAAAGCCACCTAGCTGAGCAAGTGCTTAAGCCCCACCTATTAATTTGGTTAAGTGGTTTTCAATTTTTTTTTTATTCTGTAGATTAAAGACGCTAAATCTTTAACCTTGAAGGGCAGGCAAAAGGTCGGCTATGCTGTCAACATAGAAGTCAGGGACCATTTTCCTTTTAGACATGCAGTCACTTTCCTGGTTACTCTTCACATCTCTTAGAGAGGAGACTCCAGTGAGGGTGAGGATGGTCTTTAGGCCACAGGAGACGCCCAGGAGGATGTCTGTGTCCAGGCGATCTCCCACCATGACGGTGCGCTCGGGGTTGATGCCGTACTCCTGGGACACGCAGTCGAAGATGAAGCGGCTGGGCTTCCCTATAATGTCGGCCTGGCGCTCAGCGGCCACCTCCACAGCTCGGACCAGACAACCGGTACCTGAGGGGCGGAGAAAGGAGGGGAGGAGAGCGCCCGAGGTCAGAGGGCTGGAGGGGCCCGCCGCCGCCCTCCAACCTCCTGCCCCGGGGCGCACGGACCCGCGATGAAGCGGCCGTTCTCGAGGGGGAGCCGGTTGTCCATGTTGGTGCCCACGAGCAGGCAGCTGGGCTGCTGCAAGTAACGCACGGCCTTGGTGAGCTTCATGTAGCTGAAGTGCGGGTCGAAGCCCACCACGACGGCGCGCACGTC